TCCAATAAATTATAGATTAATTAAAGTAATAATTACAATACAGAAACAAAAATACCAATTTTTTATCTTCATAAAATTTTTTAAAAACATTTTTATCTTATAAATTATGTTAAGAGAAGGAAAAATTTAGATGCTGTAATTTTTAAAATCTTAAAATATGTAACAATAATCACATAATAAATTCAATAAAATTAAGTTTTATACTTTTAGTAATTAAAATTAAATATTTAAATAATTTAAATATCGTGATCTTTTATTTTAAAAGTAATAATCACTTGTACGGACCCAATACCGACCGCACAACAAAATGTTAAGACACTCAAAATTAAGAAATTTTTAACTGCAAGGACTCTTTTATCCCTTTATTTACCCAAAACTTTTTTGAAAATAGGTAATGATTTATTTATTTACCCAAAACTGAACAAGAAATTTACGCTCAAACCGAAAGCGAAAACACTACTGCAGAAATCTCAAAGCTAAGCAAAGGAAAAAGAAATACCTATAAAAGCACGGGATCGAGCACAGAAATAATGCAACCCATCGATCAATATCCTAGCTGAAACAAGAAAATTGCAGTGTATTGAAACAGAAATTCAACGAAAAATACGGTGATTGCGCAAGGATGGAGTGAGCCGCTTCGATTTACCTTTGCTGCATTTGGAGAGAGAAATGGGAAATCAAAACTGTCAATTGGAATCCCCCTTTCTTCACAAAAGATTGACACAAGTTTTTGTAGAAGAAATTTGATAGTTTTGAAGCCAATGCCTTGGAAACATTGACTTAGATTTTGGTAGTGTTTGGGCAGCTTCGCAGTCCAACACTGTTGAAGTCCTAGCTGCTTCCACACCTGAAAATCCTGAGGATGTTTCTTCGGAGAAAACACTCCAATGCTCAAGTCAGCAATACTCGATATTCTAGAGAGAGATGCTCTCAAGGAGTAATTGCAGAGAGAGAAACGTAGAGATTAATTACCTTCATCGGAGGTAGTTGGGGGGTATTTATAGCCCCAAGTGCTGACATGCACCTGTACGTGTGAGCATCACATTGGCCCACGTGGTGCTGGTCACGTGGGTATGCTGGTGCTGGTGCTCCTTCAGCTTGGGCTAATGGGCGTCAACCTAGGCCCGTTATGCACAGCCCTGTTTGGATGTTGGGCCTGTTGGCCCTATTCCTGTTGGACCTATTCCAACATTACTCCCCCCCCCCCCCGGCGTTCGGTTGACGAACTAGGTTGGATGTGTCCGTGGGCCAACGCCCTAGCTGGTGACTATGATGGACAGCCTTAACAACCCGCGACCGAGTTGAAGGGTGGTACGAAAAGAGGCGAGCTCGCGAGTCTGAAAGTGTGCAAGCAAGCTGAAAGTATCCATAAGCACACTAGTGTGGGCTTGTTATAACAACGATCTGAAGTGGCTCAGAACAGATGAGCTCACCCAGTGAATATTATTTCAACGAGCTCGTCCACGTTAATGTAAGCGCCAGAGGACGTGTGACGACCTGACCCATGACTACTACCGAAGGTACTGAAGCGACCGGATGATGTTGTCAGTCAATCGTAACGACGAGCTGAGATGACACGACCTCACACACAGCACGATCTGAGATTTTCGATTATTGTGCTTTATCAGCTCGCATGTGCAGTGAGGTTAAATAGAGCGACCTCAGATATCCATTGATTTGTGAAAGGGTCTGTGATCTATTACGAGCTGCCACCCTGGAAACGATCTGGTAAATGTGGTCGTCTTGATGAGCTGAAATGGATGGGAAAGGGACAGACTGACCTGTGACGAACTGACTCCTGGGGGATTTTAGCAAACGATCTACAATTGTGAACAAATTGTCGCGTTTGTCATGACCTGGTAAATGTGCTCACAATGGCGAGCTGATGTGACGGGATAGGGTACATATCAACCGTTACGATCTGAATCTTGTGGATTTGGAAAATCCACCAAATCTCTGAGGAGATACGATTGATCTCCCCGTATCTCTTTGCCTTCCCCGCTATAAATGCTGGCTCAGCATTTGAGGGGACGTGCCAGCTAAAGCCGACGCACGCTATGCAAAAGGGGTGTTAAGCGCATGCCACGTGTAGGACGCTAATTGGCGCGTCGAAGGCACGTATACGGTAATTAATGCTGGCACTGCTGTTTCAAAGAAGGGAAAAGGGGGACGGTTACGCCACTTTTCACTTCACTCGTTTTTGAACTTCTGAAATTCTCTGTAGCAGTGTGTTTGCAGCCTGAAGAACACATCACCAAACCATCAACTTAGCAACGTACACAACAACCTAAGGTAACAAATGGATTCGTTTAGAGAACTCAGAGAGCTACGAGGTAACCAGGGCCGAGAAGAAGAAGAAGAGGGGTAATATTAGCAGAGCCTATCGCGATGATAGTGCCGCCGGAGTTGCAAGACTTGCCGGAAACAATGGCGCCTGAGAGCAGCGCCAGTTCAAGCGCTAGGGACAACGGTGACGACCACCACACTCCATCGTCTAGCAGCTCGTCTTCTGAGGCTACGCCCAGCCGCGGGGAAAGGACGGGGGATGCGGTTAGTCATGTCTCAGATTGGCCTGTAATTGGAGAGTGGGAGAGCAGGACAATCACGGGCAGGTTGAGCAATCTGTGAAAGGCGCCCAAGGACCTGCCCGTTGGATTTAGGTTTAAGGCCGCGCTTCATCATGAAGTAGTAGACTGTGCACCCTCCATAAGTGGGTATAGGAAACTCAAGGAGATGGTGAGGGCGTACCACATCCCCAGAACCATATTGCTCCGAACAGGCGGGCATAATGAAAGGCCGTGCACAGTATCGCAAACGGGCTGGATACCAGTGTACGTGGACCACTTTGACATCGGCTTACGGTTTCCCCTGCCCGGGCTAGTGTTCAACCTGTTGGCGGACTACGAGCTGGCTTTGACGCAGTTGACGCCCAACAGCATAAGGTTCATCATAGGCTTTATGCTGTTGTGTGCGAGATTGGAAGTACCGGCGAAGGCGATTGTGTTCAGGTCGTTGTTCCAATGCCGGCTGTGTCCCAAATCCCGAGGCGCAAAGTGGTATTACCTCTCCGGGAGAGAGAAGAGGCAGCTATTTAAGAATGTCAAGAACAAAGTGGCGAGGTGGAAGAGGCAATTCATATTTGTTCGCGACACGCGAACAGAGAGAATAAGCAACAACCTCGCTGCCCGGCTATCTGAGTGGCGTGTGCCCAATGCACACGTCAACTACCCTCAACTACTCCCACGAGACACAGATCTCAAGAATCGGCTGCTAGAGCACGCAAGGAGCAAAAATCTGATAGACCTCGAGGTCCTAGTTACCCCGGAGCTGCTCGCCGTGTTCGGGTTTGTCGACGTGGCAAACCTGTTCAACGAAGGTATAATTCTATCATATAGTATAAGTTCTAACCGAGCAGAGTCTTATACATTTGTTTGTGCAGGAGAAATGAGCAGCATACTCGAGCGCCAGCGTCAACGAGCCCAGGGCTCATGAGGTCGAGGAACAGGCAACACCTCGCAGAGACAGACGCGGTTCGACGAGCGGCCGCCTCCAGCGCCTCAATCGCACAGCTCGTCACATCGAGGATCGGGCTCGGTGTCCAGACAACGCGCTGACCAGCGGGCTGAGACTGCGGCCCTCAGTGCACGCAAGCGTGCACGTGAGGAGACAGAAAGTGAGGATGACGTCCCCCTCATCCGGCGTAGAACAAGTGGGGGGACTTAGTTCGCGCAGGCGTCTCACACGGCGGCTGCGCGCTCATCTAACGCGTCCTCTGCCACGATGCGAGCAGCGGATCTTGCGTCTGCGTTGGCCTCAATGTCAGGGCCCAAGATCGCGTATCCCGATGGCTTTAACTACGTGAAGCCCGAGTGCTTACCCGCCATGGCACAAGGCATGCAAAGCTTTGTGCCTCCTACGGATCGTCAGCGGGCAAAAGCTTTCGTGCAGCAGCATGGCGGGCAGGTCGTCATGGTCAAGCTGATGGACGTAAGTATCTGCTCGCATTTGTTTAAGTGCTTGACCTTTCCTTTCTAGAGACTTATAGTTGTTGCTGTTTGGCAGGCATTCAGCTACGCTGTAGCGCTGTTCGAGAGTGAGCAGGGGGCTCGTACACAGAACAGCGAGCTCAGTGCTAACTATAAGCAGCTGGCTGCAGAAAAAGCTAGCCTTGTGGACGACGTGAATCATCTGCAGGGCTCTGAAATGGCCAATCGAGCTGCTACTGCAGAGAGCCGAGTAGAAGAGCTCGTGAACAGAAACAATGAGCTCAGAGAGGAGCTGGAACGAGCTTGCGCGAAAAAAGAGAGTGGGATCTAGGCAGCCAGGGAAGAGGCTGCCCGGGTTGAGGAACGGGCCAAGAAGGCTAAGGCCGACAGGGACCGCGCTCAGCACGAGCTAAGCTCCCTTAGGCACCAGGTCGCCGAGGCCGACAGAAACCTCAATGCTGCTGAGGAAGCCCTGAACGAGCTGAAGACTTCCCATGGGCGCTCTGTAAGCATCGCCTGAGCTCAAGGGGCGGAGTGGTTCGTGGGTTCAGCTGCGTTCCAAGACGCCGTGGCGGTGGCGTCTGCAAATATGACCATGGAGATCTACAACGAGATCCGTGGGAAGGTGCTGCGACATCGCCCGGACTTCCCGATTGGCGAGCTTGCGTTCTTCGACGGGGACGATCTTGATGAGCAAGGCAAGAGCCTTGCTCCCCCTGCTGACGCGACGGTGCGGTTGAGGTGGGATCTCAACGAGGAGGGTGTACCTGTTTGGCCGCCTTCCATTCTAAAGGAGGGGGAGGATCCAACGGGGCTGCCCTCCTTTGATGCATGGGTAGAGGGGGCTCCTGTAGCTAAGCAGGAGCCATCAAGCACTTCACCCAACTCTCAGCCCGCCGTGGTGCCGACGAGCTCGCCTGTCAATGCACCAGATCCGGAGCCCGCTGCTCTATCGCCTCCAGCTCACTCCTCTCCGCTAGCAGCTGACGCATCTATGCTCGTCGATTTGACGGCTGATTAGACTTAGGATTTTTTGTTTTGATCTTTTGTATTTTGTTTCTACGTTTTTGTATTTGATCAATGGATCCATATCATATGTACCTCCAATGTAAGCATCTTTGATGAAATACAAATATGCATTTTCCTTTGAACTTTTGTTGTATTTTCTGTATATCGTTGTTTACAATTGTTGGATAACAACTTGAATAAAATAACAATACACATGTTAACTGTAAAATTTTCTAAGATTCTGTACGTTCCAAATGTAAGGTAACTGACGTCCTTGTATATCTACTAACACGTAAGATCCAGGTCATTTAACTTGAACTACCATATAGGGGCCCTCCCAATTAGGAGCGAGCTTGCCCATGTGTGAATAAGTATTAGTCAATCCAGCTTTACGTAAAATCAGGTCACCAACCTTGAACTGACGAGCTCGTACTCTCTTATTGTAAAACTTTGCAACACAACTCTGATATGCCATATTCTTTATTCGAGACATCTCCCTAACCTCCTCTACAAGGTCTAGGTTTTCTCTGAGAAGTTGCTCATTAGTAATATCGCTGTGACGATCTGGTCTGCCAGATGGCAATCCGACCTCAACAGGGATGACGGCCTCAGCTCCATACGCCAGGTTGAATGGGGTTTCACCTGTAGCCGAGCTGGTGTAGTGCGACATGACCAGAGCACTTTATTGAGTTCATCAACCCAATTAGACTGCGCAGCTAAAACACGCGTCTTGAGTCCTCGCAAGATGATTTTATTGGCGGACTCAGCCTGTCCGTTTGACTGTGGAGTATATACAGACGTCAAGGAGAGCTCAATGCCATAGTCGTTGTAGAACGACCTCAGTGCGGTGGCTCGGAACTGCGGACCATTGTCTGCTATGATCCGCTTAGGAATACCGAACCTGTACACAGATGTCCAAACTGAGCTATAAATTAATTTTGTATATAATGTACCAATGACTTAAGTCACCAAAGAATACCTGCACAATATGAAATTGAACAAGAATTCTTCTACTTTCTTTTCTGTTGTCGTGGACAGTGGTTTAGCTTCTATCCATTTGGTGAAGTAATCCACCGCGACAACGAGGTAAGTGCAACCTCCTTTGCCTTTCACGAAAGGGCCGAGCACGTCGACTCCCCATTGAGCAAAAGGCCAGGGGGATGAGAGTGACGAGAGCATTTCCCCTGCTTCCACAAAGATACTTATACTCAGTTTATAGACAAACATGAAGTTTGTATGAACTACAGAACAAGCTCAGATACCTAGCATGTGAATATCATCAGCATTGAACTGGCAGGTCGGGCACTTTTTGACATAGTTCTGTGCGTCCTCGACCATGGTTGGCCAGTAATACCCATGCCTCAGGAGTTTCCGAGCTAAAGTTCTACCGCCTATATGTGTGCCACATACTCCTTCGTGAACTTCCCTCACAGCATATTCAGCTTCATAAGGAGTGAGGCAGCGCAATAGGGGCATGGAGGCTGCTCGTTTGTATACCTGATTATCTAACAGAGTGAAATGAGCCGCCCTGCATTTAATCCACTTTGCAGCGGACTGATCTTCAGGCAGCTCGTCATTTTGCAGATAATTTATGAGCGGGGTGGTCCAGCTTGGTGAAGAGGGGTCTGTGCTTAGCAGCTGGCACTCAACTGCGAGATTGGTGTAGCTCGGGGCGTCAAGCACCTCGACAATTGTCGATCTCTGAGGGTTAAGGTCCTGCGAGGAGGCCAACTTTTACAGCTCATCAGCTCGGTGGTTATCTGATCTGGGTATTTTATCAATTTGGAAAAGGACAAATATTGACTTCAATCTGTTGACCACAGAGGCATAACGACCAAGCTGGGGATCCCTGACTTCACAACTGCCATTCACCTAGCTCACAACGAGCTGAGAGTCGCTGAAAACCTGAATGCTTTGTACCTTCAGCTCGGACGCCAGCTTCAATCCGTAAATGAGGGCTTCATATTCTGCAGCGTTGTTAGTTGTCTGAAACTTAAACCTCAGTGCGTGCTCAGACTTAAAGCCATCTGGGCCCACTAACACAGTCCCAGCACCCGATCCTTCCACGTTAGCAGCTCCATCAACATACAAAACCCAGACTGGGTGTTCGGGTGCTTTTTCTTCCTTAGTCGCTGAGATGCACTCCACCAGAAAGTCTGCAACGGCCTGACCTTTTATGGTTGTGCGCAGCTGAAATTTGGGGTCATATTCACTCAGCTCGACGCTCCATCCAATAAGCCGACCAGAGAGTTCAGGTTTTTGCAGTATTTTTCTCAATGGCAAATCGGTATAGACAACAATCTGATGTGATTGGAAATAAGCCCTCAAATTACGAGCTGTGTAAACCAGGGCAAAGGCGGCCTTTTCTGCTAATGTGTAGTTCTGCTCTGCACCTTGTAAAACCTTGCTCACGTAGCAGATAGGCTTCTGATTCTTATTCTCTTCCCTGAGCAAGACTAAGCTCACTGCCTCTCCTGTAACCCCCATGTATAGGTATAAACTCTCCCCTTCCACAGGCTTGGACAGCAGGGGTGCAGATACCAAATACTGCTTGAGCTCGTCAAACGCCCGTTGACACTCGTCGGTCCATTGAAAATGCTTGGGCTCTCGCAAGGCTTTGAAAAACGGTAGGCACCTTTCCGCCGACCTGGCTATGAATCTGTGCAATGCGGCTACGCGACCTGTCAGGCGCTGCACATCCTTCACAGTCTTGGGAGGCTCCATCTGCTGAACGGCCAGAACCTTCTCTGGGTTCACTTCAATTCCTTTCTTGGATACCACGTACCCTAGGAATTTTCCTGATTCTACAGCGAACGTGCACTTTAGGGGATTCAGCTTCATTTGGGCTCGGCGCAAATTTTGAAAGGTCTCACTCAGGTCGTCTATATGATCATCAGCTCGTACACTGGTGACTATCATGTCATCCACATATACTTCTATGTTCCTGCCGATCTGCAGCTTGAAGATGATTTACACCAGCTTCTGATATGTAGCGCCAGCATTTTTCAAGCCAAATGGCATCATGACATAGCAGTAGATTGCATCACCAGCATAGAAAGTTGTTTTTTCCTGGTCATCCAGCAGTAACTAAACCTGGTGATACCCCGAGCTAGCGTCAAGGAAACTCATCCGCTCATGCCCGGCTGCCCGTTCAACTAGCTTCTCCACATTAGGCAAGGGATGAGGGTCTTTTGGACATGCCTCATTTAAGTTGGTGAAGTCAATACAAATCCTCCACTTGCCATTTGGTTTTTTAACGAGCACTGGGTTAGATACCCACTCAGAGTATTCCACTCTCCTGATGAAGCCTGCCTGTAGTAGCTTCTGTATCTCTTCATCTATAGCAGCCTGCTTCTCAGGGCCAAAAAGGCGACGTTTCTGCACCACCGGCCTTTTGGTGGGGTCCGTGCTGAGTTTGTGGACTGTCAACTCTGCAGGGATGCCAGGCATTTCATCTGTAGTCCACGCAAACACATCTTGATTGACCCTCAAAAACTCCAGAAGCTTTGCTCGCTCTTCTTCTGTGAGCTTGGTGCCGATCTTGACTATTCTTTTCGGCACATGAGGGTTTAAAGGAATGGTTTCTACTAGCTCTACCGGCTCGACTTTCTGCTTGACACCCTCAGGTCTATGCTTAATGTCCGATATGCTCATTGTCTGTTGACCGAGCTGGGTTGGTCTGTGATTTTCGAAGCCTGCAAGGGCAGCAGCGAGCTCAACCTTTTTGAAAGTATCCTGGTAGCAGGCTCTGGTCATCTTCTGATTCCTTTTAAGTACTCCTACCCCTTGAGGAGTTGGGAATTTCATGCAGAGATGGGGTTGTGAGACGACAGCCTTGAGCTCGCAAAGAGTGGCTCTTCCCAGTATAGCATTGAAAGCTGACTCCATCTTGACGACCAGGAAGGTAACGGAAGCCATCATGAACCGTGGTTCCGAGCTCACATAGATGGGAAGGGTAATGACTCCTTCAACCGGGACGGGCTGATTGTCAAACCCATATATAGGCCCTTCGTGTTTCTGCAGTGAGCTTGGATTCAGCTGCATTTTCTGAAAGCAACTCCAGTACAGGATATCCGGCGAGCTGCCCGTATCAATGAAGACCTTGTTGACGTTATGGTTGCCTATATGAACCGTTGCCACAAAAGGATCTGCATGTGGCATCATAACGTCGGGCTCTCCTTCTGCTCGCTTATAGTCTACCGGGCTGAATGTGATGGGTGCATTTTCCCATTCTGCTTCTTCAAATGGGCGTTTCAAAGGCCTGTTTTTGTTAACTGTCATCACCTGACGTGCATATGCTTTGCGACCTTGGGCGCTTTGGCCTCCAAAGTGAACACCACCTGATATCATATTTATGGTGCCAGAGGGCGGGGGTATCCCAGCATAACCTACCCCTTTCCTATCTTTTTGGTTATGGGTGGTAGTTCTCTGTCCCTGTCCTCTCTTATTGAACGGACGTCCTCTGTACGCCTTGCCCTGCTCCGAAAGATACTGGTTATCCTGATATGCATCCTGTGCCCCGCCGAGCTGATACCTCTGCCCCTGAGGTCGGTCATACCCCTGTACAAAATGAGCTTGAGTGGGTTGCTGGGTGTGGAGCTTCTGAACATATCCTTCTAGCTTCCCGTTGCGAGCCAAGAAATCCAGCTCGTCCTTCAGGTGTTGGCAATCTTCTGTATTGTGACCATATACACGATGGTAGTCACAGTGCTTGCTTTTGTCCGCCCTAGGGGAATCATGCAGTGGGGGTGGGGGTCTCCTAACCCAGTGTTGGATTTGTGCCAGAATTTGAGACCTTGGCAAGGTCAAAGGGATGTAACTAGCATACTTTGGGAAGTCAGCGGGCTTCCCCCATTGCTCGTTGACTTTCTGTTTTTTCTTTTCTTCTCTCATCAGCGGTTGCTCATGACTTTTATTATGCTTATCATCAGCTCGCCGCTTGGATGACTGGAAATCTTCTGATAGTATGAAGCTAGTCGACCTGTCATTTACTTCGTTCCACGTCCTCGGTGGGTTCTCTAGCAGGTCGTCTAGGAACCGACCACGCTTTAAACCATGCAGCAAGGTAGACAGGCAGATGGTGTCTGGGACGTTGTCAATGTCCAGAGTGGCTTTGTTGAATCGCTGCATGTAGTCCCTCAGAGATTCCCCTTCCCTCTGATTAACCTGCATCAGCTCGGTCGCCGTGCGCTTGATCTCCCTCTAGCTCGTGAATTTGTTGGAGAATAGCTTGGCGAGCTGGGAGTATGAGTCTATAAAATGTCTGGGGAGCTTGTGATACCATCTTCTGGCTGTTGATTTCAATGTCGCTGGGAATACTTTGCACATCATGGCATCATTGGCATTTTGAATTCTCATGATGGCTTGATAAGTGTGCAGATGTTCATCTGGGTCGCCCGAGCCATCATATGTCTCCAAATGGGGAATTTTGAATCCCTCTTGATATGGTTCTGCTGTGATGGATAGGTTTAGTGGAGCACTATCCAAATCCAGAGTCTGTTGGTGCAACCTGGGACTTTTTAGCTCGTCAATAGATTTTTGTACATCCCGCAGCTGTCTTTCAAGGTCTGCGTTCTTTCTCATCAATTCTTCACTATGTTTGGACGAGCTGGGTTCGTTATTTAGCTTCCCGCTTCCCCTGGGCCTGGTCGGCACCACAATGTTGCTCAGAGTGGGGGAGTTTCGAGTTGCAACAACCGCAGCTGGTTGTGCATCCCTGTTCAACAAAGGAATCGGGGGATCATCAGGGATTAAGCGGGCAAGGATTTTACCCATTGCCATTTCGAGAACTCTAGTTCTCTCTTCGAGCTCGGCTGTCCGAGCAGGTTCTGTTAACCTTTCAGGTCGTTCCGGTTGTAGATTGCTTGGTATGGGTTGCCTTTGTCTTGTTCCTGTTAGGATTTGGAAAGGTTCGGGCTGAGTTGCATACCCAGTTGGTGTTCTTTCATCGTCATCTGTTCCACTTAATTGATCCTGTTCTGCTCCTCCAACGAAAAGGTTCCTGGGCATCGGTCTAAAATCATTCAAACCGGGCTCAGACAGTTGAGTGTCCTCCTGTTCGTCTATTTCATTTCTTGGGGGGCGATTTCCGGTAAAAGTACGAACCATTTTGTCTTTCAGCAGGTTTAGCTACACAACTTCTTGTTCAGTTTCCCACAGACGGCGCCAAATGTTTGGGCAGCTTTGCAATCCAACATTGTTGAAGTCCTAGCTGCTTCTACACCTGAAAATCCCGAGGATGTTTCCAAGGAAAAACACTCCAACGCTCAAGTCAGCAATACTCGATATTCTAGAGAGAGATGCTCTCAAGGAGTAATTGCAGAGAGAGAAGCGTAAAAATTAATTACCTTCATCGGAGGTAGTTGAGGGGTATTTATAGCCCCAAGTGCTGACATGCACCTGTACGTGTGAGCATCACATTGGCCCACGTGGGTATGCTGCTGCTGGTGCTCCTTCAGCTTGGGCTGATGGGCGTCAACCTAGGCCCGTTATGCACAACCCTATTTGGATGTTGGGCCTGTTGGCCCTATTCCTGTTGGGCCTGTTGGCCCTATTCCTGTTGGGCCTATTCCAACAGGTAAGATGTCAGGGATATGGGTAGTACTCTCAAGGTAGAAATTAGGAAGAATGAATGAGAAAAAATACTACAAAATAAATAAATAAATAAGAGATTTTTTTAACTAATATATTCAGGACACAAATTAAGGGTTTTTTTATAATAAATTTGAATAAAAAAATATAAAAGTAAATATTAATTTTAGAGTCAATGTCATATAAATAAATTTAATTAGATAATTAATAAATTAAATATTATTTTTTTAAAATTTTTAATTTGTATTTTTAAAATACATGTTAGAAAAATCCATAAATAAATAAAAGAGGTCCAAATTTGATGAAAAAGGGGTTAAAAAGTCCCCACAACTAAAAGTTTCTTCCTTTGTGTGGCCTTGACATTCTTCTATGTGGCCCCAAGTCCTACTTGCATGGTATATATATATATGTAACATGCTCCACGAAGGATCAAGAAGCAACAAAAAAATTTGAACACCTCTCGTTTCACTGGTGCTACTCTCTATTCAAGATAAGAAAGTAGAATTGGTAGATTTAAGAGCTTTAATTTGGATTTTTTTTAATTAAATTGTAAAGAGAGTAGGAAATCTTATAACCTTAAGTGAATATAGAAGTATCAAGTTTTAATCGCATTTTTATAATTAGGGTTTTGAAAGTGGAAGGGTGGAACTTAAGGAATAAATATCTCTGGTCCCAGTATGTAAGGTGTTGCAAATTTTCCCGAACAGGAGCTTGTAAGGATTT